ATACCTGGAATGTTAACAAGAAGATCCACAGTAAACTGGACAGAAAATATTAGTTTTGTTTGAAAATATTAGAACATAGAATCACTATGTCTCATGTCACTTTATTCTAAAATGAATTAAAAAAACAAATGCTTTCTCTTTTTTGTTTGTTTGCTTTGAGGCAGGGTCTCTCTATGTACTCCTGAATGTCTTGGAGCTTGCTATGGAACTCAGGTTAGCCTCAGACTCACATAGATCCTTCTGCCTCTACCTCCTGAGTGCTGGAATCAAAGGCATGAACCACCACATCTGGAACAAATGTTCTCTCATCATATAAAAATAAAATAGTTTGTGATGTTTATATAAAGTTTATATAAATGTAAGTATCTATTTAATGATGCATGGCGTTTGAAGCCATGTCAAAGGTGTGCTGCTACATTCTCTTGCTATCAATAGCCAGCAAGTTCTATTTTGTGTCCCATGATGACTATTGCTGGAATTACATAAACACTAAGCCAGAGTAACTTGTTGATTTGAACCCTAACCATACACCTCAACCGCAGGAATGAAAATATGACTTACAAGGAAATAATAGGCTATTCGCTCATTTTTATAGTTATTGTGGTTTACCAAAGGAAGGGATCAGCACAGCTTCTCTACACTAAACAAGAAGGCCTATTAGCATATCCACATTCATTAACATATCACTTAGGTCAACATAGTCCTATTCAGCAGGGGAGTATATATGTCACTCTAAACTGCTTACTATTTTCTGTGAGGAGTCAGACATACATTATAAAAATACTCTTGCCTGGAAATTTCTTGCGAAGTCAGGTTTTAAAGGGGAGAGAGGTAAGCAATAGGATGTTAGAATACTTAATCAATTTGCTGAAAGAAAATATGAAAAATTATACATGTAGTATATACCAATTTTAACTAATATGAAGATTGTAGCATACCATAAGTAATTAAATATTCAGCAACTTTGATTATAACTATAAATTTCACATAGTTATAATACTTTCATTGTTGATTTTTTTTTGACCAAACATTCGTACCCCCTGGTCAAACTATCAATGAATAGTTGTAAGAATAACATGAATGTTAGTTGCTATTTCCAATTAGTAAAATAGCAAAGGTGTATTTTAGAACTTCACTCACATCTCAGTGATTTGAGTGGCTCACTTACTAATGTCAGTAATGGTTTTTTGTTTGTTTGTTTGTTTGTTTGTTTTTTACGAGACAGGGTTTCTCTGTATTGTTTTGGAGGCTGTCAGTCCAGCCCGGCCTGGAACTCACAGAGATCCGCCTGCCTCTGCCTCCCGAGTGCTGGAGGCCTGGGCCACCACCGCCCGGCCGTCAGTAACGGTTTTAAAATACTCAAGTGTAATCGAGAAACTTCGATCACCATGGAAACACTTCTCTGGGTTTGCCTGTGAGGGTATTTCCAGAAAGGGTCAGCTGAGGAGGGAAGAACCTCCCTGAATGGGGTGATGGTGGTGAGCATCATCCCATGGGTCCCACAACAGCAGGAAGAGAGAAAGCTGAGCCCCAGCATCCCTCCCTCTCTGCTTCTTGACTGCTCCTCCAGTGTGACCAGCTGCCTCACACTTCTGCCATGATTTACCTGCCACGATGGATTGTGCCCTCAAGCTGTGAGCCTGAACTCATCCCTATCTCCTGAGTTACTTTCATCAAATGTTTTTATCACAACTGTACGAAGACTAGTAAACTGGAAGAACATTGCAGGTCTTCCCAACTCAAACAACAGAGAGGTTTCATCAACACTTGGAGCAGGCTTTCTTGGACTCCCAGCCCCCAAATCAAGACATGGAGAATTATTATTAGTTATAAGTGCTTGGCCGTTAGCTTAGCTTGTTTATAGCTAGCTTTTAGAGTTAAGTTATTCTGCTTCTCTTCATCTATATTTTGCCTCAGAGACTTTTAGCTCTCTTTCATTCTGTATGACCTACGTTCCTGCTTCCTCTGTGTCAGTCTGTCTGCCTCTTTCTCCTTGGTTCTCTCCTTTCAAGCTTAGATTCCTCCTCCAACTTATTCTCTCTGCCTGCCAGCCCTGCCTGTCCCTCTAGCACTAAGCTATTGGTCATTCAGCTTTTTGTTAGACCAATCAAGTGCCTTAGCCAAGCAAGGTGAAACAAATGCAATACATCTTTACATAGTTAGACAAATGCATCGTAAACAAATGTAACACATCTTTGCCCAGTTAAAAAATATTCGGTAACAAACACTTGCTGACAGTTCCCTATAGTTCTCTCTTCAGGGAAATAGCAAGTCAAGACTGCTTCTCAGTCCTTACTGATTTCAAGGGTGTCAGTCCTTCCACCACGACTGACTTCAATTTCTAGTCTACCATTACTTATTGTCATCACAATGATAGACATAGCACAAGAGTGAAATGTGATAAAACATAAAGAACTGATGGATTTATGGTTTTATTGCCTTGTTTTAATTTATTTAATAGATTTAACTTAGTTTATTTAAATGATTTATGTTTTAGATGATTTAAAAGTTTAGGTGATTTAAATACCATTTCATGGTTGAAAACCATAAAAATAACAAATTTCTGCGCTGCTGGTATGAGCCAGCTTTTGCCCACCACCAGAGTGGGGATAAGATATTTTTTTTAAAAATCAAATGTTGCCTTCACCACCTTTGATTTCATTTCACATAATTATATTTCTTTGACTTCTAAGGTCTTTTCAATTTCCAATAGACTTCCTTGACTTTTAAAAGTCTTTTAAATTTCCAATAGTATTTTTGGCACTGTAAATGAAGTTGCACATTTCACAGTCAGCATCTATATTATCCTAATATTGTATCTCAACAAGCTCCCAGAACACTGCTACCATAGACATATATAACAATCACTAGGCAAATCATTACTGAATACTAGTAAAAATTCAGTGACCTTTAACTGAGTTATATCTTAAATATATTAATCTTGAAATTGGTGATTTTAACAGAAGTTGAGTGTCTGCAAGCTGAAAGCCATGCCGGTTGCATGGAGTTAGATAAAAAAGCAGCACTGTGGTACATTTAAGAGGTTCCTTCCTGTTGAGCACTGACCACAAGAGGAACAACACTCACACAGACTCAGGACTTAGTTGCCCAGTGAGCACGGGTCATGCATTCATTTCTAATCATTCAGTGCTCTTGACTACATGAGGATTCAAGGATACAGCAATGAAAAAATATCCAAGCATAGTCCCTCCCTTGTGTTTACAAAAGAGAGCAATTAAACAAGAGACTCAAAGAACTTGTAGAGTATGTGAGCTAACAACACTGCTGAAAGACATGTACTTAAAGACAAGCAAGGAGGCCACTGTGTCTAGAATAAGTCACCAAGATGGCAGTGTTAGATGACAGGTCTATGGGGAAGGCAGAGAAAGCAGACCTGAATGCTAACCTGAGCGTCACCTTCCTCCCTCTGTCTAGTCTGGGTTCCAAACCCAACCGAGACTTCCCTATGCTGCCCTTGATTTCAAGTCCTTGTTTTCTTGTTCCCACACTGCTTTGCATGCTGGATTTAACTGCAGTCTCAGATTTGTCATTACAAAAGGTGGCATCACTTTCTAGGGTCTGACGACCTTGGTCATGAATGTTGGGGGATAACTTCAACCAGTAAAATAGCAAAGGCTTATTTTGCAATTTCGCTTGCTTCTCAGTAATAAGAGGGGCTTACTTACTGAGAGAAATGGTTATGAGAACGGGATCCTCTCGGTATTATTTGCCCTGCTAGCAGTGAGAATATCTTCCTTTGTGACTCAGTACATACACCCAAGCTGCAGAAATAGCCCATGTGTTATCACATTCCTTACAGCACTTTAGAAAGTTGAAAGCCATTGAGACGAAAATGGAGTTTAATTGGTACAAGGGCAAGGCATGTTTCACGTGTGCCTGATGCTGCACAGACATGAATAAGCGATAGGAAAGCAACTGTGAAATACTCGCAGAGTACCACCTGCCTCTGCCTCCACACCTGGTTGGGATTAAAGGCCTGAGCAACCACACTTCCAGCTCCCTCAGACTTTAAATGGTTGTAAGAGCGATTTTTCCACTTTCGCCAGGAGTCAGTCACAAGTCATGTCACTTTGCCATGCCAGAGGTCAGTTGTCCTATAGTTGATTTTGAGTGAAACTAATTATTTTTTAATTTATGCCCAAAAAATTTACTGTGTCCTTTGACCTACACTGGGCTTGACTGTCCACAACTGAGACAATCCTCTGTGTCCCATCCCCGATGATGGGCCTCAGGTATGCTGGCTGATCTGAGACTTCTGATCTCAATAGAAGATCCATTTTACAATGAAGAATTTCCAGTGATCTGATCACCTTGGCAAGAACTATGATGGAGCGACAACAGCAGGAAGATGAGAGCAAACCATTTGTAACATTTTGTTCAGCATTAACCCAGCCCACGCCAGCTGAAATGGCCATCGATAGTGGCACCTCTCAAGTCCGTGCTAGCTCCTTGTGACAGGGTCCACATTTTCCTGCTCTCCTTTGAAGCAGCCATGCAGAATTTCCTGTTCTCCTGATTAAAGGTGCCATTTTTAAACACTCATCATTCAGGGACACTTGCCTAAGATCACAGCTCTCCTGGAAAACAAATAACATTGTCTTAGAGTCGTAATAGTCTCAGGTGTAGAACAGGTGTAGCCTGTAGATCAGGACTCTTTCAGTTACTGCTCTCAGAATGCCTGGGGCATAGTGAATCCTGACCTGTCATTCACTTTTCCAATTTGGAGACAATGGCTGCTCAGGTGTTCAGCCTATAGAAATTGAACAACTACACATCCCTAGGTACCTTTTAAGGACTAAGTGCATTGGGGGCAACCATCACAGCTCTGCAAAAAAGTTTATGTTCCAGTGGAGGAAGCTGAAAAATAAGCAGTAATTATAATGCCTTGAGACACCGTGCCAAGAGTGGGAAACACAGACGGCCTGTTTCAGCCACCACCCCCTCACACTGCTTTCCAGAAGCGATGCTGAGAGTCTGTGAAAGGGTATGGGAAAGTGGTAGGGTGGAGATCCCTGTTTTCCCTTTAAAACTGAGGTGGGAGCTGGAAATGCACAGGAACATGTCCAGGTAACAGTTTTCTTTCTCTCTTTTTACTAACGGGAGAGAAGAAGGGTCTCTACCGCCACCAGGGGTGTACGGCTGTGACCCACCAGGGAGGACTGTGAGCCCAGGAAGACTTTTCTCTTTGGCAGTGTCTAGCTTGTAGCTGAGAGGGGTGGCATAGGAAATCGACTGTTTCTGTCTTCCTCAGCCCTTCTGTGGCTCTTCACAACCTGCAGCCCGATGCTCTTTAGCACAATGTCCAGAGCCTTCCCTGCCCTCCTCCACCTCCCTCCTTGCTAACAAGCTGTTAACTCTTAACATGCTCACATTTTATGATCTAGCAAGACACGTACCATACACAGGTGTTCTGCCTCTCTGTGTCTGTGTCTGTCTGTCTCTCTCTTACACACACACACACACACACACACACACACACACACACACGGGTAAAAGGGAGGGAGGGAAGGGAGGGTGGGAGAGAGAGAGAGAGGAAACAAGGGAAAGAGAGAGACAGAGAGGGGGGGGAGAGAGAGAGAGAATGTTCCACCCCATCCACCCCAGTGTCTCAGTGTTCTTCTTTCATGGTATTTTACCCTTGCTCATAATTTTCCCTTGGAATATCCTGTTTCTATGCCCCTCCCTTCCTCTAGGCTTCAGTTCCTCTGCGCTGTCTTCTCGGTCATTTCTGATGGATTATATGCTCCCACTCTAAGGATTCTGCAGTCAGTCTGTCTGATCTTGCAAGGACCATGCTAGACCACATTATAGCGCATATGTACTTGTCCTGCAAGCTCTCCAGGCTATGACTCGACTATACTTGCACCAACCTGAGCTGAGAACAGTGCCTGGGCAGAATTAGTAAAGTATTTTGTAGTATCAGTGAATCAAACGATCCTTAATTGTCTCCTAAATGAGAAACACTAGACAGTATCTATCTGGTTTCCAACTAGAATCTATAAGCAGTAGGTACCGTCGTCATTTAACTTTTGGACATAGGAAGGTGCAATTCATGCTCTTCTATGCTGAATGTACCCGAAAGCCCTGGGAAATCTTGTCACTGTGTATTTTACCATGTGTCTACAATTCAAACCGAATAGAGAGAAATGAATCCTGGCCAGTGCTGAGCATCATGCCAGGAACAGAACAGTGAACTATTGCTGTTGGGTAAACAAAAGGTTTCCATGGCATGGCCAGGGAGGGCTCTTGAGCTGTGGATAGGCCACTCAGGCAGCCATGGTGTGACTCGGCAGGGCTCTTGAACTGTGTGCATAGCCATGACGTCTGCGGAACACAAGGTTAACCTAGTGTGACTGGGCCGGGCTCTCGAACTGTGGAACCATATGTCTCCTTCACCACCCCAAACCCTGCTGCTGCCCTTAGCACTCTGAATGCATAAGGTAATATAGCATATCCCTTCCACCTCCCCATGTGGAGAGGTTGCTTGTCCTTGGAGTCTCTCAGCAGAACAGTGATGTGATCTCCGCCCCTCCTGGCTGCTCAAATACCATCCGACACGCAGTGTCTCAGCCCGGTGACAGATGAGAGCTCGTACTCCTTGCAGCATGTCTACTCAAGATTCTCTTCTTTCTCTGAGCTCAAGTTAAGTTGACCTCGCTTAGCACTTCACGGAGGAGAGGGTCAGAAGGGCTAACTGAATAAAACTCTGTTTTCTTGTACAGATGTTGACCTGAGATTTTTCCACTGAGAGGATGGGTGACGGGTGGGACCACAGAGCCGGAGAAAGAATGCCATGCACTCTCGAGTGTTAGTGGGGACACTTGCTTCTTCCTATGCAGTATAGAATGATTTTCTTCTTTCATACAAGGGAGACTCCTGGATAACGTTTAATTCTGAAATCCCGCAAAAGCAAAGCCTGTTTTGTGGTTCCAAAACCTAAGGGAACGAAGAAGATCTCATACGAGCTGCAAAGTAAAGGTCATCTCTTGAATTTGGATGTTTCCCAGCCAAGAACATTCAGGGTGTCATTGCTAGCACTGCGAGCCAGAGCCAACAACCTCCACACTGTGATTTAATGCAGAGAGTGACTGAGGGTATTTTTGTCAGAGGAACTGTTTCTCTGCTTAGCCTCAATATTTCATAAAAAGCTCATTGCAGCAAATTTTTCACTTGGCAGCATCTGCTGGGCTATCATCTTGATGTCCTCACGTCAAGAAACACTGTCACTTCAAGATCAAACGAAGGTCTACTGGCAATGAGTAGTTAATTGTCAGCTACCATTAGTCCTACATTTTTAAAAAAGCATGCTTTTTTTTTCTATAAGGATGCAGGCAAATGACATATCGGCAGTGTTTTCAGGAGAAGTAAAATGTGCAGGCTTTCCGAAGTTGAAGGGGAAATAAAAAGTCCAAATTTAGGATCTGAGTGGGATGATAGGAACAAAGTTATAACTGAGACCGGCACTGCCATCTTGGACAGCGTTTTTCCCGTGGTGAGTCCGTTTCTACGGAGAGTGAGCTATGCAACCGACGATGGAACTCTGTCTTTCTCAGGATGTCAGGGATAGCCACCTTGGTGAGGGTTTCTACTGCTGCGATAGACTCCGAGACCAGAAGCGACACCAGGACAGGGTTTGTTTTAACTTACTACTCTCAGGTGACATTCCACCAGAGGAAAGTCAGGGCAGGGACTCAAGGCAGGAGCTAAAGCGGAGACCACGGAGGGTGCTGCTCACTGACCGGCTTCTCGTGACTTGTTCAGCCTGCTTTCTTACAAACCCAGGACCACCTGCCTGTGCATGGGACCGCCCATAGTGGCCTGGGCTCTCCCACATCAGTCATTCATCAAGAAAACGTCCACAGGGTTGCCTAAGGTCAATTCGGTGGGGCCATTATCCCAACTGAGGTTCCCTTTTCTTAAATGACTCTAGTTTATGTCAAATTGACATAAAAGCAATTAACCAGGACAATAACCCTTTCTAGGCATTATTAAAGAACATCCCAAGTGTTGCAAAATTCTAAAAAGGATGGGGGGGTGTGAAGGAATGTAGGGTTTGTTGTTGCTGTTTGCTTGTTATTCTAGTGAGTACTTAATTAATAGAATAGCAGTTTCTTCAATGAATGTGTTGAATGTAGGTGCTGAGAACTGAACCCAGATTCTGAAAGAGCACCAACTGTTCTTAACCACTGAGTATTCTACCAACCTCTTTTGATTCTTTTTTGTTTGTTTGTTTGTTTTTTGATTTTACGAGACAGGGTTTCTCTGTATTGTTTTGGAGGCTGTCGGTCCAGCCTGGCCTCGAACTCACAGAGATCCGCCTGCCTCTGCCTCTGCCTCCCGAGTGCTGGGATTAAAGGCGTGCACCACCACCTCCCAGCCCTCTTTTGATTCTTTAAACATATCAGGAACGTTTACTTTAAACTCTACAGTGTTAATTCCAGAACACAAAGCCATTGTAGGTCTGATAATTTTGTTTTTTCCTCATGGGATCTCTAAAGGCTTGCTTATGAATTTTGTATTGTTTCTAGTAGGGATCTCATGTTTCTTGTATATTTCAGTAGGAACTCTTGGAGCATCTTTAGTGGGTATCTGGGTATATGGTATCAAGGATGTACAGTATCCAGTATCCAGAATATATAGTATACAGTATCTAGGATGTATAGTATATAGTAACCAGGATGTATAGCATACAGTATCCAGGATATACAGTATACAGTATCCAGGATGTATAGTATACAGTATCCAGGATATATAGTATATTGTACCACAAGCAAATTGCCCTAAACCACCTTTTCCATACCACATTTACCAGAGATCCATAAATATTGAGGACTATTTAACAGTGGCCTGGTAAGGCAAAGTCTTTGATGTTAAATTGTCTAAGTTTTCCCAGAATGGCTTCATATCTTTTATTTAAATCTTGAAGATGGCAAGATAGATAAGTCTTGAATGCCTCTTGAGAGCCACAGGGAATGACGGAAAGCAAGCTTCACTCTGTGCTTAGAGAGTTTTCATTTGGCTGTTCTTCAAACTCATTTCCCCACAGTTCTCCTCCTTCTGTACTTCTTAGAATCGAACACAGAATTTCCATCACCTTGTTCCTGAAAGCTACCCCCAGAGGGTCATTGTTTTCCTTTCTCGACAGTTGTTCTGCTCTCCTGAGGCCAATGACACCTGGCTTAGCTTCCCCCCCCCACACTCTGTGCTTGAATTCAGCTCTTGTAATATCCACTCTTGTTTGCCCACTAAAGCCTCTGCATTTGGCTAGTCACATTTGGTTCCACTTCTACTTCTGATTCTGGCTAACTTCAAAGTCTCATATATTTCACTTTTGATTTTCAGAATAAACTCAGCCAGTCTACTACAGAAATAGGCATATTTTTGTGGTCTCAAGAAACTTCACCATCTTGAAAAAAATCATACGACTGGGGATTCCCCTTTTTAATAACAATTTCCTATTTCTGTTCTCACCCTTTCATAATATATCAGCTCTTTAATCTAATGAAGATACCCATTCTATCGATTTGTGATTTCAATGCTTCAATTATTTCTCACAATTTCTCTCATCTCTACATTTCTCTCAAATTTTATAATTCAAGGCTTCAAGCATTGCTTCACTTATTATGGTAACCGACTTGACCAATCTTTCTGTCAACTTCACTTGGCAAAACTGTAGTCCTATATTAAATAAAATGGGAATTCGTTTTTTTTTCTTTGCCACCTGGGACAATCAGCGTTTCTTGAAGAAATATAGTTTCTACTTTGATAGTGGTTGACTCGATTATTTGGATGAATTTCATCTGGTGAAAACCTCTAAACACAGTGAATAAGTTATAACACATATTCCTTATAACATTAAGAAAACCTCAAATATTTTAAGGGAATATCAAGTCCAATTTAAGAAAAAGTGAAAACTCAAAGCGCACTAAGCTCTGAAACCACTTGTCCCAGGAGGCATTCTTTAATGTGAGAAAATTAAACTCAGGTTTTGGTGGCCTCCCTGGGCAAAGGATCTTAACATAAGTCCCAGGGTCAACTCAAGCAGAAAGTCTAGTGAGAGACTGGTT